CACCAACATCATTTCTCCAGATTAAAATATCTCTCTCTTATACAGAGCATTAATCACAATGAAAAGACACTTTCCTATAGCTTTTGGCGTGGACCAAAGTCTGGTTCGCTTGGTTGGTGTGAATGCAGTTTTTCTGAAAGGTGGTTCATGTAAATGGCAGTACTGTACAGAATGTTATGAAAGCATTCTGACTTGCATAAGCAAAACGTTATTGATCAGTTATAATTCGTATCTTTGCACACACTCTCGAGTCACACTTATAGTCTGTAATGCATTTCTCAAAGCTGCTTGTCTGTGAATAAATTGCCTTCTGCGAGCAGCTCACTTTCACTTGCAATGCGTCTCGCAGAAGACAGATGACAGAAGTGCCGTTCTGTGTGTAGTTTTGATGGTAAATCCATAGGGACAATTGGACAAATACTACAAACATAGACAAACTTGACATAGGACTTTTTTTTGGGGGGGGATAATAACATTAGATATTTAAATGATATGCTGAATGCTAAACTGGACAAGTCCTTGGTTTTAATTTTATAAATCTGGTCATTTTGTTTCCATCTCACAATTCAGGCTTTTTTTTTTCAGAATTGCAAGTTTATGTCTCACATCGTTATAAAGTTGTAACTGCAAGTTTACATCTCGCAATTCAGAAACTCAAAAAGTTTTTCCTCAGAATTGTGAATTATATACTCATAATTGTGAGTTTTTATCTCGTAATTTGGACTTTTTTCAGAATTGCGAGTTTATATTTCTTAATTGCAAGTTATATTTGAAATTACAAGTTTATATCTTGAAATACTGATCTTTTTCCTCAGAATTTCAAGTTATAAATTTACAGTTGTGAGTGTACATCTCATAATTTAGACTTTTTTACTCAGAACTGTGAGTTATAATTTGAAAAAAAGTCAGATTTGTAAAGCCCCGTTCACACCAATTACGATAACTATAAAGATAACGATAAAGATATAGTTCTAAAAATCGTTCTCAATATTAAGGAATAGCAGAGTCCACACCACAATTATAACGATAAAGGCACAGAGAAACGATATCATTGGAATCATTTTCAGAACGCTTTTTTCCAGGGTTGCCAGGTTTTCACAAGAAAACCTGCCCAATCGCTACTCAAAACTAGCCCAAAACTAGCCCAATCGCGTTTTGAGGGGGTCTCCAGTTAAAAATAGCATTCCGGGGGGTAAAATACAGGTTTGTTTGGCGGGGTTCCCCTGCTAAAATTCACATTCCAGGGGATTAATGTCATGTTATTGGAGTCGCTTCAACCCGCGGATATGAAAAACAACCCGCGGCAACAAAGTAGCCCAATTCCGCGGGAAAACTTGGCAACACTGGATTTTTTCCAGTTGATGAACGATAAAAACATTGACAGCCAATCAGAATCCATCCTGCCATAACGAGCTTGAGAATTTAAAGCGGCAGACGCACGTGTGCTTAGAATAAACGCTAATATCGTTATCTTTATAGTTATCTTTATAGTTATCGTTC